ATTAGGAAACCCTGTGCTTTAAAGGGGACATGCAGAAGCCTGAGCTGGTGTGGAGCAGAACTACATGGGTGATAAAGAGTATGGAAATTAAGTCCTTAGCGAGGAACAGTTAAACAAGGTAGGCAAACTTAATCTGCAAAGGAGAAGACTGAGGCAAGATTGATCTAATAAAAGAAGAAGAAAACATATGGACCTACTCACTGGTAAAGCTGAAAAAAAGGATAGGAGGCAAAGGATGGCAAGAAGGAGAGTCAGCTCTGGGGAGGAACCTCCTGATGGTAAGAACTGGTACGCAATAGAAAAGTTTGCCTAGATCAGGACGTGAGCTCACCATTGTTGGGAACCATCTGAAAGACCACCTTTGGGGGTGGCCTAGAAGATTCCTCTACTGAACAGGTGGTAGACTAGATAATCTTTAAGCCCAATTCATGCAATTTTTTTTTTTTTTTGGTTCTGTGATTTGCAAGGCAATTATTTGCTTCTGGCTGATCATAAATATGACCGACATTTTTCAGTGTAAAAAAAAGTAAAATGCTCAAGTAAGATCAAGCAAGTAACTATACCATTTAATTTACTATTTAAAAATGTTTTTGTGAAAAAAAATTTAGGCCCTTTACCTTGCATGAATGAATTTTTTCTGCTTCAAAGTAGATGCCTAGAGTTAGACACAACACTATATTCAACTATTCTCTGTTTTTATGCCTATTTTTGAGGAGGAAATAATCAATGATTTTTGATTGAGCTCAGATGGTAGGTTTTTAAAATGTCCTTTTATTTAGGTACATGATCAGTAATTCCAAATGCAATTTTCAAAATAATTGCTTATGGACAAAAATAATAAAATAATATGTATTCATTATCTATCCAATAAAGCACAATTTTATTACATTCTAAACTCTGGCATTCTGCTATGTTATGAATAAAACCCATTTCTTCATGGAGGTAATTTGCTATATTCTTTCTTCAACCATTTATATTGGTAATGTGTGGGTGTGCACACATGTGTTTGTACGTATGTATGCATACACACACACACACACACACAGAGAGAGAGAGAGAGAGAGAGAGAGAGAGAGAGAGAGAGAGAGAGAGGCATTCATCTTATTATATTTAAATAGGTTTGGATTTCATTTTAAAATCCTGCAGCATTTGTTTGATAGGAAATGCCAGCTGGATAAAATAAAACATGGTGTCCTTGAGATGCATTGGATTATAGTACCTTTTATCTCTAGCCACCATGGATTTCTATGGAGTGATGGGAGTTGTAATTCAGTGCATTTGGAAGGCATCAAGTTAGGAGGACCAGTATTTACTTCTGGCTCTCTGAAATATCACCGATCTCCACATTTAATGGTTCAAATTTTCATTCTGCTTTGAAGTTGGTTTGGAGGGGAGGGAAGGAGGGGCGGGGGTTGGTTTGTTTTGTGTTTTGTTCTTGACTTCTCCTTAAGGTTGGGGAATAAAATAGTTGTTTTATTGTTTCCTATATCATTTTGGTTTACTTTTCCAGATGCAAGATTCTTATGGAGCACAGCAGAGGTTGCAGGGTACCGGAAAGGAAGATTTTGCATTTAGGAGCTAAAGGGAGAAGAAACAACTCCAAACAATTGAAGCTGTGAATGGTCTGAGATGGCTGCTAAACTCTGTCTGATGAGACAATACACAGCTTCCCTGGGGGGACAACCTGGCTCATCAAGTCTGCTCTGTTTGCGGTTTCACAGGGGGGGCATCACTCCGTTTACATAGGTCCAGACAGACCTTCCTGCTGGTGATTGTGGGATGTCTGCAAGGATTTCCTGACCTAACCTTCAAAACAAATTGGTGATGAAAACAAACAGGTGATTGTGAAATCTGCTGCAGTCAAAACTGCAAGAATATCGCTGACTGCTGGGGAAGTCTCACGGGCTCTCCTTTATATGACCGGCAGTAGGAGCAGCTTTCTTAATTGTGGTACTTAATAACTCTTAAGATAATCCATTTCTGCAATAAAAGGGAATATTTCACTTGAACAATTTCTGCTTGATATGTAGGTCTCTGTATCATCTTCTCTCTGTGTGTGTGTGTGTGTAGAAGCTCCCCCCATGTGCTTTGATCTCAAAGAAACTGGGCACATGATATTCCAAGAAACATTAATAACTGTTTAAACAGAAAAAATGATTGGGGCATTCTTTATTATAAGTGAGTAGAAAGGCATATTGTTACATCTAACTGAGAAATTATTATTCAAAATGTTTAAAAACAAGGATAATCTCTTCACTGGTTTACCAATGTGATCTATAAAAATAGGCCTTTTTAATGAACAAGGTACTATACTATAAAAATATTTCAAAATTCTTACCTGATTATCAGAGTCACACATGCACACCCAACAGCAATGACATTTTCTTCCCATTGCTTTTAGTCAATCCCTCTCAAACCTTGGATGTCCTCCCCCTCAAATTTGTAAAGGAAACGAAATGTAATTTTTATCCTGGCTACTATATCTATAATGTATCAGAGTATAGATCATACTCCTCAAAGGACAGTGTCCTTTGAGCATTGGAGAGCATACTCCTCAAAGGACAATGTCATTCTAGAACAAACAAACAAACATAACAGCACAGCTCTGTATTCTTTGGAAATGAGAATACAGAATGAATGCAGGAGTGAAAGAGAAAAGTTATATATTTTTTCAGGTTGCCAGAAGTCAGATGTAAACATTCCTTCCCTGTGTGTGTGTGCATATGTGTGTGTGTACACACATGTATTTACACACACACAAACAGAGAGAGAGATACTTTGGTTTCCTGGAGATCAGTAAGAAAAGTTAGTAGAGAGTTACTTAGATAATCTCATTTATTTCTGCTGAAATTGAATGCAGGATTCAATCCCATGCTTTTAATAAAATTGAAATTATTACTGAGAATTATTGAATGGAAGAAAAAATATTTTACTGAATTTAGCTTGGCAATCAGTTTTGCAATGTTATAGACCAATATAGAATGTACAGAGTACTTTTATGATATTACCGAGTAATTCAAGTCATCTCATTTAGACTTGTTTTGTGAGATTTTGAGTGTAAGGCTTCTCCTTAAGTATATTCCAAATTTTAAAGAAAGTGTATTTTGAAATTCTTTACAGCTACATAAATTGACTTGATCTGAAATAAGTTTTGCAATTTGGCACTGAGGCATGTCTAACCAAATCTTTGGCAACATACAATGTACCCATAGTAAATTGTTTTGCATCTCTCCTTCCCCCAAATACCTGAATCCACCTTTTGTAATGGCGAATGTTGAAAAAAAAAAAAAAATGTCATGGATACTGACAATGTTATTTTAAAAAGTACTTATCACCACTTATTGCTCCAACTACTTCTAGATTGACTATTTTAAAAACTGTGCAAAAACAAGATCTCCAAAAGGAGATAGTATATATATATATATGAGGCCAATCAAAATTATCAAATTAGTCTTTTCAGTATGTGTTTGATCTGACTTTCTTCAGAAGTGATAGAAAATATCAAGTGGATTTTCCCCGTCAGTCTTAACCCCTCCCCCTCCTTTTAAATTGAAAGATAATTGGTAGCAATCTACTTATTACTTGATTTTAGGCAAGGGAAAATATCTGAACAGGCTATTCTATGAGCTGAAAACTGGTCTGCAATTTTTTGTGCTTGCATTGGGTTTCTTGCAGACAGGCAATAGGCACTAAATGTCAGAACAGGTTGAGTCGTTGCCACATCCCAAACCTTGTGCCCAGGCCATAGTATCTGTACACATTTGTGCCCAGGCCATACTATCACTAGTAAGCATATATATGCTTATATGCCACAAGTATGCAACAGAGAATGAGGACCCCTTTGGCCTTTAAATTCTTATTCTGAAGGCTGTGTTTTAACAATTGGAGAGGATAAAAGGTCAATGTAGGTGAAATTAAAATGTACTTATTAAAGTGATTGATATCCACATTTAATCCTTTTTCCCAGTAAGAGCCCAGTTCAGAATCAGTGTTTGGATAGGCTGGATGAAAGGGAGGAACATACAGCTGAGGGCTTCCCATAGAATCTCCTTTATAGTAATTGCATTGATATTAAAATCACTCCTTTATCAATGTGCACACCTTGTCCCTTTCTTTCTATCCACTTGAGAGCTTTCATTTTAGAACAATATAAGACTGAATGAGAAAGCAGCTTGGAAAGTTTGTGGATTCTGACTTTTGGATAGGAATGTAGCGTAAAGGCCTTTCTGGGGGGTCTTGATGAGATGTTGCAACTCTTGTGAAAGGAGGGATTGTGTAGGGATCAGACAGATCAGGGACAAGGAAAATTCAGATTCAAATCCTCATTCAGCAAGCAAACTAATCAAGAACAAGTACTTTCCAATCTGTCATTGGCTGTCAAGTTTGATGTTGATGTTGAAATGAAAACTGAGGAGAAATCATCAAGTTGGTGGAAGTCCCATCCTGGCTGAGCAATTCTGGAAGTCCACAATTTTAAAGTTGCCAAAATGAAGAAAACTCTGTCATTACTGCTCTTTTCTAATGAATTAGAGAAAAGGTGAACTATAAACACCTTCAATTTGCATTATACTATTTTTGACTGCAGAGGCAGTCCACAGCTGGACTGGAAACAAGCAAAACGCACCATCCCCCCGGTTAGTCGGAAGATGCAGATCAATTTTCTGCCGCTCACAATGGAAACGGGGGACAAGCGGTCGGAGGGGACCCGATCACATCCACTCAAGTAATAGCGCCGCTCGCAGTTGGAGGGGGAGACAGAGCCAGAGGGGCGGGACTTGAAAACTCTCCCCAGCCAATGGAAGAGAAGCCGTTTATCTTTCTTTTAATAGGGGGCAGATCGAGAGCGCAGTTTTCTGAGGCAAGGAGGATGGATTGGCGGAGTAGCGAAGAAGTGATTAGTGCAGGAAAAGCTCCGCCGAGTCTTCGGGAAAGTCCTAAAGAAGAAATCCAGCGCGACTAACTGTGATCTTGACTCCGCCGTTGCCACTGTCAACCGGATCTTGATATACACGCAGCAAAGTCGCGAAAGTTTCCTAGCTCTCTCCAAACCACTCCGTTAACGTTAGCGGAGCAAGTCAGGATTTTAAGAAGACGCAGCCGTGCAATTGACTAACTGTTGCAATTGACCAGGAAAGTGTGAAGGCGAGCGCTGATGCGCCTTTTCCAGTCTCGATGAAACTCTAAGCGCTCCAGCGCTTCCTCCGGGTTTTGTACTTTCCGTCGTTTGCATCTCAAAACTTTTGTTTTGCTCTCCTCTCCCCCGCAGTCCCACGCTTGTCACCGCTCTACCTGCCGCCTCTCCGAGCCGCGAATCTGTCCCGTGAGTCTTTTTCTTCAATGGGCGCCTTGGATTCAATCACCGGAGGACCTGCCAATCCGACCGCCGCTGCCCTCACCATGCTGAACGGGGCAGAAAGCCAAAACTTTGCCAAGGAGCCTCCGGACCTCCAGGGAACCACGACCAAAGACACGGGCGGTGGGGGCGACCTGAAACTGGGAGCCCCCCAGGACCGCTTCTACTACCCCGATCCTCCCTTGCAGGAAGGCAGCTGCAACTTAGGGCTGACTTACGGAGGCCCCATGGTGCAAAGCGCCTTTGCGGGGAGCGACCCGGCCTCTTCGGGCAGGTTTTTGGGGCCGGTAGCGAACAACTGCTCTTCCTACCGAGCTCAGCCTCCCCCGCCTATCCCAGCGTCAACTGGACCCGCCGGGAATCCTGGTTTCTCGGTCTCAGCTAGCGAGTTGTATCCCACCGCTGGAGATCTTTATGCTGGCGCGCCCGCCGGAGAAGGCTGCTACCCGACAGCGGTCCAGCACGTGTTCTCGCGAGCTCCTCTCTATCCCGTGCCGGGGTATCAAGTCTCCGGAAAGACCCAGGTGGTCCTCAACAACTACCCGCTCTGGGCGAAGTTCCACAAGCATCAGACGGAAATGATCATTACCAAGCAGGGCAGGTGAGCCATGCGAGGAGGCGCCACGACGGCCTGGCTGGGCCCGCGGGGGGCGGAAGGCAAACGGACAGGGGCCGACCTGGAACTTCGAAAAGGGGGCAAAGTGGGGCTCCCTCCGAGGAGAAGCGGGGTGGGTGGGGGGAAGACCCGTGTTTCTCTTTCCCCGTTTGCTGAGAACTTCAATCCCGGACGGAAGAGGAGCCGGGATGGGAAAAGTCTAGTCTCTTATAGGCACCAGCTGTCTGTGCGTGCGTTTGGCTGCAAAAACAGGTGGTTGGCTTGGCAGTTTCTCTCTAAGGCTCACCGGGGCAGGGACCCTGAGGACCAGGATGACGGTCCTGATAATCTGCCCATATTTTTGTAACCGACCAATCAGACTATCTAGCTGGCTTATTTCATAGAGGGAGAAGGGAAGAGAACATTAAGAAAAACATTTAAATATTTTTTCCTAGACCTTGGTTATTTGGGAAAGTTGTTTTCCAGTAACCTGGTGGCTAGGTAGATGATCAGAAACTTTATTTATACTCTTCCACCACCACCCTTCCCATGAAACATATGTATCCAGGATTAATTTGCAATATTATATTGGAAGCATTGATAAGTTTTAGAAAGGTAAATCCACCCTGCCTATCTGTTCATATGAGAGGATGAAAGGTTAAAATATGTGTCTGGTTTGCTGGAACCCCAAGTAGTTTTGTATCCCCAAGTAGTAACTTACTCTGATTTACTATTTCTGTTTATTTATAGAGTAACTAAGGGAAAAACAGCTTGTATCTTTAATTTATTTATTTTTATTTTAACAAGCAATAATGATTGGAAACTGAAACGGGAGACAAAAAAGACATTTTGGTTCTTAAATGAATATGGTTTTTGTTTCATGGCTTAGATTTTTTTTATTTTTATAAGCAGTATGTGGTGAATTTTCATATTTTTCCCAATCAGAACTTTTCAAAATATAAAAAACTATGCTATTTAAAAAAACATGTAGACTATGCCTGAACAAAATACCTCTGTGTGTGTGTGTGTGTGTGTGTGTGCACGCCCGTGTTTAAACAGTTATCTTTTGCTTTTTATGGGATATAATTTTTAAAATCAATTTCAACTAGTACTTTAATCAATTGAAGGTTTAATTAAATGCTCTTGATAGTTTAATTCCTAGTTACAGATTTCTTTCTCTCAATTTCAGGGCATTTTTATGCTAGTTAAAAAAAGAAAGCTTTAGCTGATTAATCAGTGAGACCAATTTTAATGAGTGTCACCAAGAGTTAGAGGCACATCTGTTTATGTTTGTTTTCATGAGGCTATTTTAGTTCTGGTATGCTACTGTAAGAGGGAATTAAAATGAGATTAAAAATGAAATGTGGATTTATAGAGATATTATTAAAGATGCCCTTATCTTACAGATCCACTTATCTTAAACGGTGCTCTTATTTCTTAATTTGAGAATTGTCTTATACTTCCTTCAATAACCAAAATGTGTATTAAAAAAAGAAATCACATTACTTTAGTAATTCGTTGATTATAACTAGAAATTGTATCATTATATCTATCTGGGAAGGAACACAAGTTAATTAAATAAGATAACTTTTGAACAGAAATATATAGGACCATTTTGTAAATGAACTAACAATGATAATAAAAACAAATGTTAACTCGATTGGTCAAATAGTCTAGAAAAATGTTTTTGATAACAACACTGAAAGTTCATTAAACCAGAGAATTGGGATATGTTGAGTATTGGATTCGCCACATTAAATATAAAGAAAAGGGAGGAATATCAGGATGTCTTAGAAGTTTCAAACATGTAGCAGAAAGAAAACTTAGTTATGAAACCACTCATATCAGACATAACATTGCAAATACATAGAAAAGTAAAAAATATGAAAAAGGCAAAGAACAATGTCACGATACATTTCGTATAGTTGAGAAGCATTTTATTTTACATGTGGAATCTTAATTAAATTTGTGCAGTCACTTCTTTATGGATCACCTTTTTTGAAATATTACTTAGTTGTCCACAGTTGGATGCAATTATTTATAAGCTGCTTTAAACTATTTTGATAGTAGCTTATATTTCCAAAAAGCTCAGAGTAAGTGATACAACTTAAAACTTTTGTGGCTATTAAAAAAAATCTTCAAAATGATGGAGAAAGGCAGTCTATGAATTGACCAAAAGTTCTTAAATCATCAGATCCTAATTTACAAAGTTCTAATTTGTACATTTCCCACTTGACATAAAAAGTGTTAAAGTTGCTTTCTTGTGGTGTTTGTGGGCACATATTTGTCAAAACACCTTTATAAATCGTGGTTAAACATGCAATTAACCAGTGATCTCCCAGCACAGAGCTAGGAAAATACATGTGTTTTTTTTTCTCATGTGAATATATCAGCTGGCTTTTCAGCTGGGTCAGAAAAGAGATCAAATTTGATTCTTAAGATATAGTTTGATTTTACAGAGAGCAAGGCCACAGGACAATATAGACAATAAAGAAGCCAAGTATTTATGATTACTTTATTTGAACTTGATTATGAAGATGCCAAGTTAGTTCAGCCTTCTGATTTGTTTTCTAACTCAGATCATAGACCAAATGTAGAATCTGTTTCTTTTATCCTGAGAAACTACAGAGTGAATGAAGGATGTACTGCCACAAACCTCTTTTTCTAGAAATGAAACTGTGAACATGAGCCTACCTATCTCACACCATTCCTCATATTTTCTCCAGGCAATTAACTGTCAGATTAGGAAATGTTTATAAAGATCACCATTGCCGTTTTTGTTTTTTTGCCCTCTTCTCTCTACTCATTTCTGCTCAAATTCCTCTCAACTGAGCTGTAAATCCCAAGGATCTACCTACCCGTAGCAGAGACAGAGGAAAGGGTAGGAGAAATATCTCAATACACAGCTTAGACCTGCCAGCCAGATCTCTTCAGTTTCTTTCTCTTCTCTTCTAAGAAGGTATGAAAATAAAGAGTACAGTTATGGATGTTCAAGCTTATTACTATAGTTTTCTTCCTCTACATACCAACTTATTCCAGAGTTTATCTTAAATTCCATAGTGATCAATCCTAATGAGAGAGAGAAAATTAGGAGAAAGAAATGACACGGAAAGATGCCAAGATTCATAGACCAACAAGGTCCCCGTTGCCAAGGTCCCAATTTATGCCACAAAGCCACCCAGGCTACAATAAAAGAGGATGTTGTCTCCTCCAACCTTGAGAAAGAGAACCAGGTCTTTTAAAAGTATTGCTTTTCTGTAATTAATTCTTAAGTAAAGAACTAACAAGTTTATATTGTATTTCTAACTGAAGACAAATTCTCGTCTCAAATTCACATGGTACATAGGAAATGTGACTATCGAGGCTGAAGAGTTTGCATGCAAAGATGAGTCTGCCTTAGATCCAGAATCTTTTACCTGCCTGCTCCCAAATTATATACAAATATGTCTTGGCATCAGTATTTACAGAATGACAGAGTTGGAAGAGACCTTTGGAGCCCTTCTGGTTCAAACCTGTGCTTGAACAGGGGACCCTATACCACCCCAGACAAATGGCTGCCCAATCTCTAGTGTGCAGCCTCCAGTGTTGGAGCTATTGGAGGCAAGCCATCCCATTGATTGATTGAATGTTGTCACTGTCTCTGTCCTGACTTTGACCATCTCATCAAACACCATGACTGAGGCAGACTTAAATCCCCTAAAACTAATCTCTCCCAGCCTGTTGAAGGTTTGTTAGCCGCTTCATTGTGAAGAAGTTAGGAGATTGTACTGACTTGAAACAGAGACACAATAGATTGGAAATGAAGACAGGAAATTCTGTGCTCCTTGCCAGTTCAAATGTGGCTAAATTCTAACTTAGGAACAGGGGAAAATATATACTAAACTGGTTGCCTTAGGCAGTTATTTTGGAGATGCAGCAGCAAACTCATATTAATCTATTTATGTAATTTTAAATTTTAAAATATCAATTTTTAGATATTGTTTTTAACTTTGTTATATGCTGCCCAGAATCTTTTGATTGTGAAGTGGATAGTTTGTCAAATTTAGATGTTGTCTATCTAACCAGCAAAACTATGAACAAAATATGGATGTACTTCAAGGAGAGTATTTTCAAGATATAATTTTTTCTTAATTATATAAGGCTACCCAATCAAAGCAGCAAAACTCTGACAGACCATTAGAGAGCAGCAAAGAGTTGCCATTTTCTGAGCTTCCCTCTGGTCACCTGGATGAGGCCTACTCATTTCATTAATGAATATTATTTGTCCTTAAAACAGAATTCCAACCAGAAGATAATTTAGGTGAAATTCTTGCATTTATTTATTTATGTCTTGCATTTATTTAGTTAAAAGTTGGCAACAGGGATGTCTGAATGGCTTTTCTTGCATTGTTGGCCTAGTCTCCCTATTTCCCATCGGACAATAAATTCCAAGGCAGAGTGCAATCATGAAGAGTCAGTAGTTTTTACATCAGATTGCATGTAGGGGATCTTGGGGCAGTGGGCTTCAGTGAAAAAAATATGTGCAATAGCACAGGGGTCGCCAATCTTTTGGACCTCAGGGACCACCAAACTCATAATTTTAAACCCCTCAGACCACTAATATGAATTTTGACTGACAGTAGCTTGCTGATATTGGTGGGAAAGTCGGTCCCATATTCCAGAACTGCAGTAGTCACAGGACTGGCCTTTTGGTCATCCCGGAGCACCTCCTCCACCTCCACTGGGTGCACTGGCCTGCCATGGACTGGAGGAGCTGCTCTGAGATGACCAAAGGGCCAGTCTTGTGACTACTGCAGCTCTGGAATATGGGACTGACTTTCCCACCAATGTCAACAAGCCACCCCGGGACAGATTTCCCTCCTGTTGGTCTTATCTTCCAGTTACAGCTCGCGTGGCTTTATTCAAGGTAAGGTTTGCGCTCAGCCGAAGGGTGGGGGCCAGCAGGTGGGCGGGCCATGTGGGCAGTGCAGCCTTGTGTTCCCACGCAGCCTGGATTAATTGCTTTG